AGTAGATGGAATCCTAAAATGGGTTTGTGAGTAGATAGCAGTCTAAAATGCTGCCCAAATATGACTGTCTCGTGGTGCACAGGACCAAGCTGTGGGGCAGCAGCAGGTCTGTTTGGTGTTTGATGGGTTTTGGTGTTGGTTTTGATGGTGTGGGGTTGCTCTCACACAGCTTCCACCTCCCTGAGGAGCAGAACTGGCCTCGAGCAACACCTGATGATGTCTCACCTTGTCTGAATGAAAGAGAATTAGAGAATCATTTAGGTTGGAAAAGACCTTGAGAGCAGCAAATCCAGTCATCAATCCAGAACTGCCAAGTCCCCAGATGTCACATCTACACACTTTTTAAATCCCTCCAGGGATGCTGACCCCACCACTTCCCAGGCCAGCTTCTTTCAGAGCCTGATAGTCCTTTTGGTGAAGAAATTGTCCCAACCACAACCTCTCCTAGTGCGACTTGAGGCCATTTCCTCTCATCCTGTCCCTGTTACCTGAGAGAAGAGACCAATCCCTGCCTCTCTAGTGCTCCTGCCAGGCAGCTGCAGGTCAGCCATGGCCAGATGTTGCACCTTGATGGGCTCCTCTCAGTGCCCAGCACCTCTTCAGGTGCAATTTAATCCCAGGGGTATGAGATCTCTTTCTTAGAACATGAATTTGTAGAACATGACTCATCTCCCCAAAATGGTGCTGCTTAAACCTTTCTTTGCCCTGCTCCCAGGTGGATTCTATGCCCACCCCCAGGGCTGTGTCAGTCTGGGAGAATCCTGAGCTGAATCCACCCCACCTGGATCCACTGATTGACCATGGATCTGCCATGCTGATGTTGGGAAGGGGAGCATCAGCTTTCCCCCACACAGCAGGACACACTGCTGCAACCATGCCTGTGGATCAGCTCCCCACCCTTTCCTGAGCTGCTCTGAGTCAAATCACCATCCCCCAAATCCCCTTAATTTCTCCCATACCTTTCCATTGGCACAGGTCACATCCCCTAAGTCTTCACTCACTTATCACAGCAGGGAAACTCCTGTTTATATGGAAGTAAGGAAGGAAAGAAGGAAGAAAATGAGGACAGAAAGGAAGAACCAGAGCTACCTTTAATTCTGAACACAATAAGCCCACGCAGCTAAAAGCTGGGTAAGTCTCCTATGCTGAGTGCTCTGCTCATCCCAGGCACTGCTTTTCCTCAAGGGAAAACCTCATTTTTTCAATCTTTAGTGTATAACCCATCATACTCTGACTGTGTGGGGCTGCAGTGTCCCTTCAGGCTGATCATGTTTTTATTTCACAGGCCTTTCCCTGTGAAAAGGGGTGATTGCCTGTGATGGTTTTATGGAGGTGGATGTTCCTTCCACCCTCTTTCCACCCAGCAAAATGAGAAACCACAGATTGTTCAGGCTTCAGCTTCTCATTGAAAAGTATCTTTTTTTACTTCCCCCCTGGGAAGCTCTGAAAATTAAAACCAGCAAAAATACATTTCTTGTGAGGAGGAAATATTTCCTGGCTGCCTCTAAGACACCATGGGGGCTCTGTGTGTGTGTGTGTGTGTGTGTCTGCAAACTGCTCAGTGTGCATACCCTGTGCTTTTGTACTCTTTGGGCAAATATGAGGCAAAAGCCACACAATATAAGGCTTATCCCTGTTTTGTTTAAGGGCCTGGAGCATACACACTGCCCTGATTGATGATAAAGGAAGGGGAAAGGCAACAGCAGCCTCTCAGCATCCCTGGTACACATGTCCTTGTGCACAGTTTGCAGTGCATTTTTAGGTTTGAAAAGAGTGCAAAGGTTTGGTGACCATGACTGTGTATTTTTTTTTTTCCCTGTGCCTGCACTAGAAACTTTTGGCAGCCCAAACTCTTGTACCTGAAAGTGCAGACTCAGAAGAAAGGGAGCAACTCTGGGAGATCTGGCTGAACAACTGCTGCCTGCCAGCCCTGACCACGAGCCTTGCAGAAAAGAGGTGAGAAATCAGTGAAGATCTGCCTGGGCAACGTGAGCCAGGCTGGATCTGGGTGGGAAGGAGCTGCTGCCCACTCCAGGCTCAGCAGGGTGGGCAGGGAGCCAAGGAGCAGCCCAAGCCCTGCATCACTGCCCTGCTGCTGAAAGCCTGGCAGCAAACCTGAGTCCCTGGTCTCAGGAGGAGGAAGATTTTGTGCTGCTCCATCGCTCTCAGCTGGGCTGACCCTGAGTGCATCTGAGCACAGCTCCCAGGGGTGCTGGGGCACCTCCCCAGGGCCCAGCTCACAGCCCTGCTCCATCCTCAGCCTCTCCCCAGCTGGCCAGGGCTCCTGGCATCTGTCCCTGCCTCAATCCCCTTGCTCCTCTTGCTCAGTTCCCTCCTGGTGCATGGTTAGGAGCAGAAAAAGGGGTTTGGGCCAGGGGATGGGGAATGGGGCTGAATTGCATCAGTCTTCCATGTGCCAGCACTCCAAACTGCTGTTGTTAGCCTAAAAACCAGCCTTCTAAATTTAAAAAAAATTTTTTTTTTTTCTTCCATCAAGCCTAGTTTGACCTTCAAGATCAGATATCAGATGGAACTGTAAGGTTGAAAGGTGCAAATGGTTGGGGTTTTTTGCTGCAAGGGCTTGCAGACCGTAGATGAACTGGCTGGGTATCAGTTTTATTTCACTTTAATGCCTGCAAGTCATCACTGAAGAGCTGAACTCTTGAATCCTACATAATTATCTTGAAGGTCTTCACATGCCAACCTTATGCAAGTTTTAAGGAATAGATCTGGTTTCATATCTGCATTCATCTTTGGAAAGATGCAAATAAGGAGTGAGCATTTGCATACCAAAGTAGGCTTCAAGAGAGATTTATTCAGCATTTTTATTATTATTATTGTTATTATTAACAGTGGCGTGCTTCTGCGAGTCTCTGGAAGGCAGAAAAGGTAAAAATAAGAGATTGCTTCTAGCTCTTCCTTTTTTCTGGGCATGTCCCCATCAGGAGAGAGAGTCTGTCTGCAGCCAGGTGGGGACACAGGCAGGAGTGTGCTGGCAGGCTGTGCAGCCTCTGCCAGGACAAAAACCCTCTGGGACGTTTGGGCTGTTGATGGAGAGGGGTCAGAGAGCCCAGAGCACAAACAGCAGGGGCAAGGTTGGGTTTTTCCTTCTGCTCAACCACACATTTCTGCTGTCAGCATGGGAAACTCAGAGTTACCTGTGCACAGATGCTGTGGATAAACCCCCAGCTGCAGAGGCTCAAAGCCCTGATTCATTCTCCCTTCTCCTTGCTTGCATTTCTGAGCTTTGTTTCTCTGTTTACAGCCCTGCTCTCTGGCTTGTCTTCATGCCTGCAGAGGCAAATCCTCTAAACAGGGTGCTTGTCATGAGATTTGCACACCTTTTCCATAATCAATATTGGGTTGTTACAGTTTCTTCACCTCGAAGGACTGCTGCTCACTGCTCCCCTGACTTTAGAGGCTCCATTGGAAAAGAGCCAAGGGTGCCCCAAAGTGCATTCGGGAAGTTTGTCCATTCAGACAATTGAAAATGGTAGGTTTTTGGGGCTGTCAAAGTGTTGCTTCCAGGTGGGTCTTTTCCCAAATAGATTTTTTACAGTGGGGATTGTCCTGAACCACCTGCCCAGGGTTTGCTGCTGCCTTTGCATGGAGACCTGCACCCAGCTGCTCCCCCTGATGCATCTCAGCTGTGTGAGCACAGGGCACAGAGCCCAGAACTTGGCTCCTCCACTGGTGTCCTGCTTGCAAAGGTGTCCAGGGACCAGGCAGAGCCTTGCTCAGGGCCTTTCCCCCTGAGCATCAGTGTTCCACACCTCCCTGCTCTCCCTGTACTTGAAGGAGAACTATGCCAAGCAGGGATGGGGCAGTGGGAGGTACTGGAGCAGCTTGCTTGGTTCAGGGCATAAAATCTTCCTTGGCAGATACCCCGAGCCAGCCTCCCAACCACATCCCACTCTGGAAAGGATTTAGAAGGTAAAAATACTCTGAAAACATAATTGTAGTTTAATTTAACTTTCTGTGCAGTTTGTTTTCACAAACCCCCTCGCTGCTGTCCCCCATCTGGCATTTTCCTGCCCACATTCTCTGCCTGAGTGTGGTGGGCTCTTTGCTGGGTGTGTTGATGTGACAGAGCCCATTTCCATTCTACCTCTGCAAGGTCCTTTCCACTGCCTTTACTGCTTCTGTTCCATCACACGGTGTCACACTGGGAGCACTCCCTGTCCTCCACCTTCTCTCCTTTAGGTAGCCAAGGTTTCCCACTTCTGCAAAACGATCTGAGGAGAGAGAACGCGCACCCACCCACCTATTTTTTGGATAGAGATCCCACGCAGCTCCTCCAATAACACAAGAGGGCGCTTCCACCTCATTTTTTGGGAGCATTTCTTCAGCAGGATTTCCCCTCGCCTTCACCCCATCAGCTGGGGAAGGTTGGGTGAAGGTCCTTGGAGCAGGGAACTTGTCTCTGGATGTGTTTGCAAGGCTGAGAGGAGCTCCATCCTTGCAGCATCCCCAGAGCCTCACACAGAGCAAATGAAATCGTATTTTTGTGCATGAAACAGGGATTGTTCCACTTCAGGATCTGGTGGATTTTCAGAGGATGTCTCAGAGGATCTTGGCACTGAGACATGTCATTGGTTTTGATTATTCACTGTGAGAAACACAGACATGTCAAGGCATCACTGCTGGCATCCTCTCTGACTGTAACAGAACTGACAGATCCAGAAGAAATTTGGTTTAAAAACAAGAGTTGGGAGCCTTTGAAGGGAGAGGGAATGGATTTTGCTGGGTGTGGCAGCAGAGGATGTGCAGTGAGCACATCACACATGTGACATCCCCCACCAAGGAGGAGGCAGAACAGGTAAGAAAACTGCCAAAGGTTGGGGAACCTGCCTGAATGAATTTAACCCAGGCCATTTCCTCCCCAGTGTTCTTTTCCTGCTGGTGGCTGGACCCAGCCATGCTCAGGAGATGAAAAGCACAGCACCCCTGAGCCCCAGGCTGACCTGCAGTGCACACACACACACACACACCATGGCACTGGCAGTGAAAAGAACTTTTTATTTGCTGCTGTGTCCAAGAGCTCCATACCTGGAGTCTGAACAACAGACTGAAAGTCCAGGCTGCAGAGCAGGGGCTGTACACAGGCAGTCTCAGAATTCCTTCCTGTGCTAGCTCACTCCTGGGCCTTGGAATTTGCTTTCCCTCCTCCATCATCCTTCAGGGCTGTTCCTAGAGAATTACAGAGTTGAGGGAAATCCATGAAATAGGAATACATTGCAACATACAGCTGCACCTAATTACCTGCTTGTAAATAAAGCCTAATTAGCCAGCACCCAACTTTTCTTCTGCACCCTTGTCCTATAACTTCTGTCGCAACACAGGGAAAGCAGTTTTCCCTCCAGGTGTTTGGACTGGGATGTTTTTGCTACAGAGCTGGCAGAAAGGGACAAAGTTTTTCCAGCCCGAGAGGGCTGACCTGGAGAAGGCACAGAGTGTGCTGCCAGACACATCTCCTCATACAACCTGCAGGAGAAAATCAGAGTGCTGGGGTGCTTTCATCACAATACTGGGGCTTTAGGATTTCCTGGGGCTGCATACTCTGCAGGATGTGGAGGTGGTGAGCTTTTGTGCTGGGTGAGATTGGATGGGTCACTGCCTGGTATTAGCTTTTTTTTAAAGACTATTGAATCCAGATACTTTTAAGATGCTTGCCTTTCAAAAACTGCTTTATGGGAGGAAAGGTCTTTCCTGAAAGTGGGACCATTTTCTGATGTGTGGAGCTGTGTTCTGGAACAGGATGTTCCCCAAACACTAGTTACATGTTAAAGGGTTTTTTTCAAGTGTTCTACTTTTAAAAAAGCAACAAAAGCCATTAGGAGAAAAAGGAACTGAAAGTGTTTGGCATCTTTGAAAATCAGAATGTCTCTGTTTAGTTTTTTAAATATGGAGCTTGACACAGGCTCTGATTTCCAGAGTATCTGTAGATCCTTGGGGGCAGAGGTGGTGAACGGCTTCTGAGCAGCATTGCTGGGTTCTGAAACTGTGTGTGCCTCTTTCAGCCAGCTGCAAGAGACTTAAACAGAACATTCCTCTCTGCTGTCTCAGTGGACTCTCAGACTCGTGGTCTGCACTTAAAAATATGTTTAAGTCTTTTTAATGTACATACAAGGGTCCTGCAAAGCCTAAACCCTTCTACTGAATAGCTGATCCTTTCTGAAAGAGGGTTGGACATCTGGGTGTGAGAAATCAATATGGTGAAGAGCTTTGTCAATAACTGGGCAAAAACTGCCTGGGCAACCCTTCAGATGTGTCTCATGCATGAGGTATTGGTATTTAAAACTCCAAAATTCTCAGTCAGCAGAGAAATGTGGCAACATCTCCCTGTTTATATCCCTAATGCTATCTGCTTGAAGGATTTCCCCAAAGGTCTTGTCCATTTTTCCCTGGAGAAGTTTTATGAACCCTTCTTCTTCCTCCTAAGCCTCCACAATTTCAAACCTTGACCTTCCTGTCAGACAAGAAGATGTTGAAGGATTTCATTAGGGGAATATTGTAAATGCAGGTGAACCCAATGGGAAGAAATGACGATGTCTGACTCAATTCAGAAGGCTGAATTATTTCTTTGTTATTACTATGGCTAAAGTACATTAATATACTATATAAAAAGGAAGCTACTAAAACTACATACTACTTTCTCTAACTCTAACACAACTCGTGACCCTCTCTGAGAGTCCAGCCCCAGGTGGGTTGGATTGACCATCAGGCTCAAACAATCCTCACCAGAATCCAACCAAGCAATCACCCCAGGTAAACAATTCTCCAAACACATTCCACATGGGAAAAACAAGGAGCAGAACTAGAAATTGTTTTCTCTTTCATTTCTCTCTGTGAAAAATTCTGAGAGGGAGAGAAATGTGCTTGCCACAGGGGAACCCACATCTATTTGTTTCAGTAAGGACCAGTTTCCTTCTGGGTCTTTTGAAGATCTACATGCCACATTTTAGTGACTTCTCCAAGAGTTGGCCCTGCAGTAGGTTTTTATAGTTGTTTTCACATTTGCAAGTCTCCTTTTCCAGACTTTTTTCCTTTTTCATTGGGCTCCAGACTTGCAGGGGAAAACATCCCAGGTCAGATACCAGAGACCCATGGAGCAGCGTTGCTCAACGTGACCCATTTTGCAGCGTTTCCACCCATATCTGCTCATCCCCCTCTTCACAGCAGGGTGGAGGCATTTTGCTCCACAGCTCTTGGCGGTTCCAACCTCTGCATTCCCAAGGATGTGCTGCCAGGCTCAGCTGAGCCCAGATGTGAGAATGTACTGCAGATATTCCCCAATTCTTCTTCACCATATAAGGGAACATTGTCCTTCCTAATGCTGGGTAACAGGGGTAGTATGGATAACTTTCAGAATTAAGGATAGAATCTGGAGTTTTTCCCCTCTTCTGCTCATGGTCTTGGCTGGAAAGGATTGTTACCATCTGAAGGGCTGGTGAAATAGGTTGGCTCCTCTCTGCTCAGCTCACCAGACTTGTTCCTGCAGTGTGTTGGCTGAGTGGATCTGGAGATCCAGCCTGGATGGAGTGCTCCTAACCAGGGCTGGAGAATAATACTGAGACAGCCTGCACACAAAAACTCACTGCATCCCCACTAAACAGGGCACTCAGGTCTTCAGGGTTGGAATCCATCTGGCCCTTCACAGTCACTTAAGCAGAGCTTTCAGATGCAGCTGCAGGACACCCCTCTTCTGTGCTTTGTATGCTGAGAAGGTCCAGACCTGCAAGGGACACGATTTCAGTGCCTATAAACCATCCTCAGCAGCTGGTTTCAGCCTGGGAAACCTTGTGGATATAGGGAAAATATGAGGAAGGTGGTCCTGTAGTCCTATCTCTGCCCTGGGAATTTGTGCAAGAGGGATAAGCTGGGAGATGATTTTAACAGCATCTTGGAAGTGTGTGAGGTTCTGCCAGAACGTGCAGAGCTGCTGCGTCGATGAGAGAGGAACCAGAGGTCTCGGGCACTGTGTTAGGGTGGTACTTTGAAAGGTTCTCCAAGATGTTCCAGAGGGAGCAAAACTCTGGCACTGTGTTGGGATGACTGTTTGAAACAACCTCTGAGGTGTTCCAAAGGGAGCAGAGCTCTTAGGAACAGTGCTGGGGTGACTGAAACAACTTCTGAGGTGGCCCCTGGCAAGGGAGAGGCTCAGCTGTGACTCGAGGGTGCTCCTGGTGCCAGGCTTTCAGCGAGGTGAGGGCACCAGAATTCAAACCACTGTGACCCAGATTTACCTCTAAGGTTGGCCACGTGCCTGCTGTGTCCATGCTGCCTGGTGTGGGCAATATTGCCAGCTCCTGGCTGAAGCTGGGCCACCCTCCTCTGGTTGTATTTTATGTCTGATTACTCTCCAGCCTTCTCTCCTTTGTCCTGTCAGTTCACCCCCGCTGGGAGCTGAACCTCTTTCCAAATGCCTGGCTGGTCTCCCAGAAGCAGCACAACACCATTGTAATGTGTAATTAGGTTGGAATTCTCATCCAACCCCCTTTTTTATTTAAATTACACCAATCCCTGAGTATGCAGCAAGGAGAAGAGGTTCCTCAACCTTTTAGTACTTTAAAAGATGTAACCTTTTAGTATTTTACCCAAACACAGGAAAAATATCAATAATAAAGCCTAACACTGAAAGAGGACAAATTTTGGAAAGATGGAGTAGGGCAATGCTCCTCTTATGAATGAGATGCTGCAAAAGAAGTGTTGAGTGAGTTTACCAAGGCCACCTGGCACAGGAAGAGTAAAAGGGATAAAAAAGTAGCACTTCCAAGGCCAGTCCTAATCCTTTGTCCCCTGGCCAACACCTAAATGACTACAACATATGATCAGGGCTGCATCTTTCACTTATTCAAAGCAGACTGTAGCCAGACATCAAAACAATGCAGAAAGCAGTGCAGCAGTGCCAACCTGGATCTTGCCTGGAGTGGCCAAAGTCCAAGGAAAGCACTGAAGGATTTTCAGATGTTGCTTCAGACAAATCCCAGACTCTTAAAGTTGACCATCTCTGATAACCTCTTCCAGCAGCTGGGAAGTGGCAGCTGAGTCTGTAAGGCTGGTTACTGCAGTCACTCCCTCTGAAAACAGCTGTTTAGATTCCTTAGGTGTTTTGATCTAATGTGGGATAGACAGATCCCATCAAAGAGCCCAGGACCTTTTCATGCCCCACAGGAATAATCACTCTTCCTCTTTGGTATCCAGCTGGCACAACTTAGATGCTCCACACCAATCTCTGTCATCTCAGAGACTCCAAGCTGCCTCTGCAATAGAACCACAGAATCATGGAATGGTTTGGGTGGGAAGGGACTTCAAAGGTCATCTAATTCCAATCTCGTGCCATGGCAGGGACACCTTCCACTACCCCTGGTTGCTCCAAGCCCCATCCAGCCTGACCTTGGACACTTCCAGGGATCCAGGGGCAGCCACAGCTTCTCTGGGCACCCTGCTCCAGTGCCTCCCCACCCTCAGTGTAGAGTTTCTCAGAGTAGCTCTATGTACTCCAGTTGATGATGTGACCCTGGAGACAGAGGGTATCTTAAAAGGGAAGAGGTATTTCTAGGAATTTCCCACTTTGGCTAAAGTATTTAAGGGCGTATAAATGCATGGAAAAAAATACAGATATAGGCAAAGATGCCTGTAAAAAACTGTCATCTCCCCATTATTCCCATTGCCTTGGGTTGTCCCTGTCCTCCACAATAAACCAAAACCAACATCCCCCCCCAAAATGTGCTGGTTGATTTAAACATCATCAGAGCATCTCTCCAGCTGCCTGACGTGGTTGGACTCCATCATGTTCCTTGTCAGTGTTAATCTAATCCATATTAGCAGCAAGGCAAGCTACTGTGAAGATAAAGCCAAAGTGCTAAAGGGTAAGAGCCACATGAGATTTTTTCCCCTGCGCAGCAGCTTCTGTAGCAGTGACAGATTTCAGATTACATCTCCAACTCAATGTCTGTCAGAAGAAGGTAATTCTTGAACATCATCTGCTAGGAAGCACAGCTGAGATCCTCCTGAGTGCCTGAGCTGACCCCTGTTTGAGATGCTTATACATCTCAGCCCCCTCAGCAGACCCTGGTGCTCACCAAGGAGGTGGTTTTCACACCAGTGGAGATTATTTGGGGACTTGGTGCCAGATAGAAATTTCACCTTGGTGTCCCTCTCTGTCAAAGATGTTTTAGGGTCACACA